TTTTTGTGAATTATTTTTTTAATATTTTTTATTAGATTCTACTATTTTTAGAGAATAAATGCTACAAATTTAAAGTGATTTGAATTTCTAGAAAAAAAATTAAAATTCAAATATGAAATGCAATCATGATCATTGGATCGGGTCAGATTCAATGTGGGCCATTCCGTGTTTACTGTAGTTGTCAGCTAGCGAACTAACCTTAGATTCTCCCTATATATATGGGAAATGCTAGCGTAGGTCAATGGGCCTACAGCTACATATGAGCCCAACGGCCCAGATTCAATCTAAGCCAATTTGAGGAATACGACCTCATGTTGGATTTTAATTTTAATTTTTTTTTACAAATCCAAATCATGTGACATTTTAGGCGTATATTCTTCTCATCAAGATTCACCTAATAAAAATATTTAAAAAATAATTCGCAAGATATAAATTGATCAAAATACCCCTGAAAAGTTTCAGGAGTATTTTGATCAATTTCTTTCTCATGAAATATTTTTTTGATATTTTTATTGGATTCTCCTATTTTTAAAGAACACACCCCCAAAATTTCAAGTGATTTGGATTTATAGAAAAAAAATTAAAATTCAAATACGAAATGCAATCGTGATCATTGGATCGGCTCAGATTCAATTTGGCCCATTGGGCTCATATATCGTTGTAGGCCCACTGGCCTACACTGGCTTTTATATATATATATTAAAAATAATAATAATAATAATAACTATCTTAAAGTTTTGTACATTTTCTAAAGCAAACGGACCACCAAAATCTGGTAAAACAGCTCTCTCATTCACTCCTTGTGTATTGCATGAGATGGTCGCATGTCATCTTCTTCATAGAACGCCATGCTTAAATGGCCTTAATTCCATAAAAAACGATCTCTTTCATATGGTTTTTTAAATTTGTTCATAACCTCATCTAAAATTAGGTGATTTTCTTAAATAATGTCCAGTCTTAATAACCACATTAATTACAAGTTAGCCATGTGTACTATTTTCCCGCATTAATTACAAGTTAGCCATGTGTACTATTTTCATAAGTATATTTGAAGTTTAAATAACGACATTAATCTATCTATAACAGTGTTTCAAAAAGCGCTAGGCGGCACCTAGGCGATCTTGGGGGTCCAGGCCACCCAGAACCTGAGCAGCCTAGTAGAAATGTTTTTTTTTTTTGGGTTTTCTCTCTCTGAAATGGCCTCTAATAGGTTTTAAGTTTAAAATGAACCTAAAACCCACAATTTTTCCCCTTTAGTATTAAAAAAATGACCAAAAAATAACCTCAAGGAGCCGCATTTCCACCCCTGGGTGGGGCGCAGGCCCTAGACGGCCGCCAAGGCGGGTTCCCGGGCGCTTAGGCGGGCACCCAAGGATATCCACCTAGTTTGGCCGCCAAGGCCTGAGCGATGCGCCCAGGCCTTCTGGACCGCCTAGGCGGCCACTTAGGTGCTGGGTGGTCCGCTTTTTAAAACTATGATCTATAATAAGTATTATAGGTGATTTGGGAGGGTAGTATGTGAGATTTTTCACAAAATGCCCTTACTTGAATTTGCTCATTCCATATAGGAATTCATCTCTGTAGGTGATTTATGGAATTTTATAGACAGCCTCCTTTATTTATCACTACAGCCAATCCAAGCTTCCAACCCATATTTGGTAAGATTTCGTCAGCCCCAGTCTCACTAAAGATCCAAGCCTCGCTTGGATCCTCGCACATGTTAAAGCCCTGACATCGATCAACTCCAAAGTAGTGGTCTCCATCTACCTAATCGATGCATAATGTGCCAACAGGGCAAATAGACTGCTACCCACCTACTTCTCCCATGCCCCTGCTATCTCTCCTCTTTGGGCCCAACTTCTAGGTCTTTTTGGTTTGCCCTGGATCTACCCACAGAATGTGAAGCAACTCTTTGAGGCCTATCTATCTCGCTGCTCCCAAAAACAGGCCGCAACACATGGAAAACGACTTTACTAGCTTTCCTTTGGATTGTCTGGAAGGAAAGGAACTCATGCATTTCCAAGCTCAATGCCAATCACTACTCTTTCTCCTTGACCGCGCCAAAGCTCTCACCATATTCTGGCCGAAAGATTGCTTTTGTGTAGCAATTTGGGCTCCTCTATACCCATTTCCAAATGGAACAACATTCTCTGCCTTGTCCCTAAGTCATTTCCCGCTCAGGTCAGCTGGGTCCCTCCTCCCCCGGGCACTTTAAAGCTCAATAATGATGGATTCTCTCTCGAAAATCTGGGCCACTCAAGGTACGGGAGTAACCATACAAATCACCACCCACGTGGTATAGGAGTAACCTCACAGATCACCACATCGAGATTCTATCGTTTTCAGGCTTCCTAGGGCACAGGACTCTACCAACTCTACCACAGCGAAAACCATAGCCCTTCTAGTGGGTCTTAAGCGAGTGATCACCTTCATCGAGAATACTCAAACCTTATAGTGGGGGGAAACTTTAGTAACATCATTTCTTCGGCCACCAGAAAAACCCAACCCCTACGGACACTAGCCCATTCTTTTGATTACATCTTCTCACTTTATAGGGAACACTGGGTCAAATTCAACCTTACTCAAAGGGAGGTCAACTTGGCCAAAAAAGGAGCAGCCCCACCCACACAACAAGCACAAGTTCAATCAGAGTCTCTTTATCTTTTTCTTGTACTGTACACCTCCCTCCTATAACTATCTTCTTTCTTTCTCTCTTCTCCCCTCTAAAATATCTCAATATCTCTCCTTTCTCTATCTTCTCACCTCCACTCTCTCTCTCTCTCTCTCTCTCTCTCTCTCTCTCTCTCTCTCACAGAACACTATCTCTTGATGGCTAAAGCTCTTTTTGCTCTGTTTTCCTTACATTTACACCCCATTTTGTAACAGAGCACTAGATCTTGTGGGTTGCCTATTAGGGGTTTTGGGCTACAAAGTTCTATTTAATATTAC